CTCATTTAATCCATTCATATAGCATTTACTACCTAATTTTTACACACTAAAATCCAAAGTTCTCGTACTTGTTTTATTATCTTATTTATTTACAATATCAAAACTTAGAATCAGTGAATTAGTAAGGACTTTTCTCCTTAGTAATATACTAATTCATACAAAACAATAAATTCTTTCTGTATCTCCTCAGCTACCTGTAATTTTTGCCAGGACAACCCAGACAGGTCATGCAAGGCAAGAGACTATCCACAACTGTGTAGCAGCAGTACAGGCCTCCTTCAAGTCCAGCGTTGTGAGAAGCCTTGGAGTGGACCAGCTGGTCCTCTCCTGAAAGGAGGGAAATCAGCAAGATGAGGCCAAGGCCAGAATACCCAAGAGATGCACTAAATCAGTGCAATTTCTGCAGCAACCTCCCACAGGCAGGACTAGAGCTAAAATCTGCTTTCCTTGGCAAGTGCCACAGTGAATAGGTCTATAACCCCATAGGGTTGATCTTACCACTACCCTTCAAGTGACTATTTTCATGGGCACAGCTGCCATTTGAGGTGAAGTGAATAAAGAATGAAAGAAGGCAGACTGTAAGCCAATGAAGTCCACATGTAACAACTATGGATGTACCAATCCATTAAAAATATACTGAGTTCAAAATGCAAAACTAACGCCACTAGAGATATGTAACTTTTACCTTCACTAATACAGAAAACCTGTTCTGGCAGGAAGCGATCCCAGAGGAAGAAAAAGAAAACAGGCTAAGGACAAGTTTCATTTCAGCAGGGATCTTTTCCTCTACAACTTAGGGAAAACAGATGACTAAGCAAGAACATCTCTAACCCTGTCCTACCCATCTAAGTACATGGGGACAATGGGCAACAGTTCAGGAGCAACAAATCTCTCATCTCTTTTTTTCCCCCCTCCTTCACCCATGACAGCAACATCACCTAACGTATTCCTGGAAAGCAGACAGGCACTCCAAAGATAAGGAGGACAAAGAAAAACTTTAAAAGTATTACAGAATTTGGGGAATACCAAGGAGAAAGATTTGAAACTACTTCCTATGCTTCAGTATATACAATTTTTCTCATAATTAGATGTCAGCATAGAAAACATTTCACTCCTTACAAGCATACTTATAAGCAAAGGCCATAACATGAATGGAAAGTATAAAAATAAAATAAAGATTAGAACTTTGCAGAAGAGTGGCTGCACTAGGTCAGGCAAAGAAGCCGTGGCACTTCAGCATCTGTTTCAAAAAGCAGACATCTGTGAAACTGTATGAGAACATGGACAGCACAGAGCACTACTTGCCCAAAACTGTGCGCGGTCTCCAGTGATTTACATCTCAGAAAATTCCCAAGTCAGAGACCATAGACTGAAAAGCTACCTGAATCATCTGTATGTTAGGTATGCAGCTTTAAGTACCTCACTATGTAAAAGCAGGCAATAGTCCTCCTTTTTACAAGTGGAATATTTTCACCAAAAAAAAAAAAATATATATATTAGCTAGTCAGATTTCCTCCAAGATATCCAGAGCTTTATTGCATATAATCAGCCTTTTGCTAAAAGGAGCGTGGTAAGCCATTTGGTTAACTATCACAACAAATCATTATTAATAAAGTTCTGCTAAATCCAAACTTTAGATATCTTAACAACTCACCCAAAACTTTTTTCAAGTTCATTAACCTCTAGCATATTTTTTCTCTAAATACAGGCTGTCAGAGTGGTACTTTCTTCCATCTGTTAAACAACCGTGCTCTGAATTACACAGAAATGTAGCTGAATAAAAAAGTGATTCATTGAATTTAATAGTTTAGGCGAGGCTCTATTTTATTTGCAGTTACTCAATGGCAGAATTCTCACAAAGCCCAAGAGTAAAAGACTTGGATAAACACACAGACTTCTGTTAAGTGATAAAAATCTGAAGGTTCCCCCATCCATGTAAAATTTAAACTAACAACTTTTTTTTCCTTAAGGACTGAGTAAAAGCCGCCAGATTTGTTTCTGGATGTTCACTCCTGGGAGGAACGGGGAGACAGAACAAAACAAAACCCCCCACACAACCAAAACCCTGCAAATAGTCAGACAATAGCATTTTCTGTGGCAAATGTGGAAAAATTCCTGCAAGTTACCAGAACTCAAGCTGCAATGAATAATCAGCATGTTAACCTTCTGGTGTTTTCTAGAAATGTGTATTGAATAGTACAGTAAATGGCTTTGGGAGCTATATCCAAGGATAGAATAAGCTCAGGGAAAGTCTCTCATCACACAGCTTTTGCATCGTACCACATCTCTACTGAGCAAGTGGCTTAAACACCCTCCTCACAGACTTGAGCTTACCTCCTATTCATAGACAGCAATATTACCCTTTTGATCATTTAATCCTCAATGAAGCTTAACACGATTATGTTCATTTATACATTCCTGGTCATTCTGCTGCAAAACCTTCAGGTTAATAATCCAAGAATTCCTATGCTTAAAGGTGCTGCTCCACTCTATAGTCTTAAATGGCATTTATAACGTCTTTGTCCTACCAAACACAACAAAACCAAAAAGAATGTAGCTGCACCCTCCCCTGCTCTTCCTGCCCCAAAAACATGCCACGTCATCACTGGAGCTGAACATTGCCTTTTCTTCACCCTGGTAGTTCACTTTCATAAATTATAGTTTATAACTCACTTTGTAGTTCATAACTCACTTCTTGAAGTCTTCACTTACAACATGACTGAGGGCTGCCCATGCAGTCAATGGCTGCAAGTAACTATAACAACTGTGGGGAAGCCTGTGGCAAAAAATTAGCAGAATGAAATTGGTACTACAGCATGTAATAGGATAAGGGGTACCTGGTGAGGTGCAGTTGGTGCTCAGATTTACTCAGCAGTTCTGTCAGTTTTAGGCACTCCTCTCTGGCTCTTGTCACATCCTGCTGGGCTTGTTCCAAGCGCTGTTTGTTTCCATTCAGCTCTAATCCTAGTTTTTCTATTTCCTTCACAAATTGTAGAACCAAAGAAAGTATATTTAAGAAATGCATAGAGATACATTTTAAAACATTAAACCTTAATGTGATCAAAAAAACAATGCATGCTTTTGTTGCAAAACAAAAGTAGTTTGTTGATTAAAAACTGAAAAAACAAGCAGATTAAAGTATTTGAAATTACGTTCTTATGAAAAGCCAAAATTCAGATCATATTTGAATACATTAATACACCATCAATGTTATTGTCTTCACATGGCTTAAGAGATAGACATTCAATCAGTTTCTGATTTTCTCATGTGAAGGCTTCCATCTTTGTGTCCTGAGTTCACTGTGTCAGAAAGCCAGAAGGCAGCAGAACAGCAGCCGTCTTCAGAAGCTGATGGACATAGGACAGAGCTCTTGTGGTCATTTATTTTGCTTATCTATTACATAAGCAACAATACATGGGAATTTATCTTTGTCATATTCACATAATACTATGCAAGAGAATAAAGGTCATTTTGTGATTTTACCATTATTGAAAATAAGTTATTTATGACTTATAACCGAATCCCAAACATACCAGCTCCTGTTAATCCTTTCATTTTCTTAACATCATTAGTCCTCCTATGTCAACTAAACCAAGCAAGTAAATCTAACTCAGTCAATGAGTCAACTTATTTTACAAATAACAATAAGCAAATTTGCATGACCAGCATCTTTGATTCCAGCAAAGCCTACTGGACTGACTGTCTCTAACTGAATCATATTGCCAACAGTTTAAACATTTTTCACAAATATATCAGAAGGAATACATTTTGCTTTAAATCCATATATAACATACAAGTACCTGTCGGAATACATCTGTAATGTAATACTATGCCTTGTCCTAAGGATGCTTTTAAGGAGGCCAGTGGGGTACAGAATAAGCTAACAGTGTAATTTTATCATGTAGTAACCATTCTGCAATAACTCCCTACATAAATATTTATTCATCATTGGGGCTGGAGGGAACTTGCATGTTTTTCAGTCAACTAAACTGTGCAAGATCATTTGTAGTACAGAATAAAATTGTTCATATAAGGAGTTAGTGCTGAATAGCTATTATACTTCAAATTCACATCATATTTTGTGATAGCTTCTTCATGTAGACTAGCCTCTATATGTTCTTCAGTTAATGAAATTATTCAAACATCCTTCAAGAACAAATGAATGTAATTCAGTCCCAATATTTGCACTTGAACCACCTTCTTAATAATGTTGTCTCTTTTCCTCCTATGAAAATATTAACCACTTACAGTACTTCATGATGTCCGAGACAAAGAAAACCTCTTCATCCAGAAAAAAGTTTCATAATGTTCTTTTTTTATTTATTTTTAATTTTGATAATTACTTAACTGTACAGTTTTTTCCTCAAGAGGACTCAACAAAGGTTCATGAAGGAAATTTTGATAAGAATTTTAATGTCACCTTGCTTTATCACATAGACAACCTACCAAATTAGATCAGTAATTCAAAGTTTGAACACAAAGATAGAGAAACTATCTGCAAAATCGTTAGTACTCTTCCCCTCTAAAGAATGTAACAACCTATTGCACTGTCAGAATATTTTAAAACCAGGTATCCAGTTACTTATGCTTTGCATTTTCACTTATTCCCAGAGACTTTTGCATATTTTAAAATAGAACAACAGAAGTCTCAATGAGTTCTCTATTTTTCTTAACAGCAGCAGTTCATTAATGTTATTTCTCCATTTGTAGTAAAGAAGGACACTAGTTCTTTACTGTCTTTATGATTTAAAGACAGGGAAGTTCTGCAACATTTCTAGGATTTGCTTTAAGAATACATCCATTCAGCATACCTTTAAAAAAACCTAAACCACAAATTAGTCAAAAAGCATCAACTAAGTATTTGAAAAAGCACAACCACTGCTGAGAACATAAATACACTCTAGATCACTCCTTCAGGGAAAAGTTTCAAGGAACAGATGGGCTTTACACCATTGCCTCAAGTTAAACAGGCTCAGTCAGGTTTTGACACAGACCCACAGAAGGAAGCAAATTCCAAGTGCAAGAACCTCTGGTGAAAATGTTCTGCTTCCATCAGCCAGATGTTGAACCTGCAGGGCTGAACCCAAGAATGCATCCACAGATTTCAGATGTCATGAAAGTGCAGAGGGAAATTCTCAGACAATGACTCCATGGCAGGATGTTTTAAGATTCACAGGACTCTTATGCTTGCTATAGAACGTATCAAGAAAGCAAACACAGGTTTTGAAGAACAATTTTACTTCAGGTACTTTCAACAGTAATTACAAAATTCAGAATCAGCTCCTTTAGACACACACACATGCATGTGTGTTTGTGTGTGTCTGTAGGTGTACATAGATATAGATAAATATATCTTAAAATACCAACATTTAGAGGTACTCACAGGGCGAGCTATATGAAGAGTAGGAATTCTAACACAAGAATTCTGGCAATGACCATGGCAGAAACAGCAGACAACCTCATGAGAAAAGGATGACTGAAAAACGCCACCCAAAAGAACACGCTAACAGCAACTCAGAAACCAGACGCATCTAATACAGGTTTATTTAGGGCGATCAATGAAATTCTTCTTTTTCAAACATCAGAAAATATTAACTGAAAATAGTTTGGTAGGAGTCAGGCATCATCATGGCAAAAACAGACAGCCCATACTCTGAACACTACATGTTACTTTGGTTTAAAAACTCATAACAGTTTGAAACATGTGAAGCCTCTAAACGTGAGATGAGTTTATACAATAAAAACCAACCCACATCCTTGTCCTGCAAAAACTAATAGTCTAACAAATGTACACACTCTATCCTGAAATATGTCAAGTCCAGTCCATCACTAGGTCATCACAATATAATCAGAATTGAAAATAGAGAAAAACTACAGAACCAATGAATCTTCTTCACTGTTCTTGCAGGGAACCTTATCAGGCAGCATCTTTCCAAAATGACTCAAACTACTTTTCATGTTACTTTTGGTTCCCATTTCTTCTACTGGGAAGCTGCAAGCAGTTTTGTAGCTGCTATGTGGCCCCCAGTGTAATTATAGGGAGAGGAACAGAAACAAACCACCAACTAAAGTATTTTGCCGGCAACTCTGCTTCTCATGCAGCGTTAATTTGATCCCTTAGTGCCTATCACTTGTGATACAGCCTTCCACAACGTGATCAGAGAGTATTTCTTCAAGGTACTTAACTTTTCAATGTATGTGAGAGACAAGAGATGGAGCACAGAACTGCAAAAAGACAGATGACAATCTTGCATTTAAGAAAAATCTGAAACAGATTTTCAGTATAACAAGGAACAGAATTATCATAACGTATATGTACAACAAGACTACATTAAGGTTGGAACAGGCAACTTCTGGTGCTTAACTCCACAACTTTAATATTCTTATTACTTCCGCACATAAATGTAAAAGTGCTATTTAATCTGCCTTGCACTGCAGTTTCTAAACTCCCAGGAATACCAACAGGCACTTTGCCACTGAAAGATGGCAGGCTAAACCTCAGTAAGAGAAACATCATTATTAGTAAGTCGAAACACATTAACACCATTCCACGTACATTATCCAATTCAGTTACAAGAAAGAAGTTTTAGTAAACAAAATATGAAAGTATTAGTGAAATATTGCTACAGTAAAATTTTATTCTATATCAATTATTCTTTTTTCAGTATTACCACCAACCACTTTTTCTATTTTAAGTTTTCCACTTTGAAGCATATAGGAGCCTTCTATATTTTTTTCTTGAAACACTTAAAAGAAGTGTTCATTCATTAGTTTATGATGAGTTTACAAATTATCTTCCAATTTTCACAATGCATTTTTAGGTGAACACACTGGAGAATGTTCATTCAGCAACATAAATGAAACTTACTGGAAAACATATAAGATGATTTCTCAAACACTGGATCAATCTTCAAACATCCTCTTCATAAATTATCTGGAATTATCTACACCTAACAATACTTATGTACATTGTAAAAATGTGCTGTTTAACTTGACATCTCTTTATCTCTTCAAATTCTGACACAATGAAATAATTTTATTCAAAACAAGACAAATTAAAGATTTAAATAATTGTTTAATTCCTTTCATACTGATGCTGATTCTATTGTATGCAGAGAAATGCAACTTTAAATTCCAAACTAGCAGATGTTTTTCATAGAATTTTAAATAGCAGCAAACTGACAGAAAAGACAAATGCTTTTTTTAAAAAACAAATGAGAATGATTAAGCAGTGATAAAAGAACTCATGCTCTGAAGTAACTGCAAAAACAACTTTAGAAGACTTTTAACAAAATCAGAAATATACTAAAAACAAATGAATTAATAAGTGATTTATGACATTCACTGTTGTACCAGTATTCTCACAGATCTAGTAAAATACACAATATAATCTGAAAAATAAATTCTGCACTGACTGTACTATTGCACAAATTCTGCAGTAAAATAATTCTGGAGGGGAAAATATTTTTGTGGATTTACAGTACTTTGTTTTTGTTTCATACTTCATTTCCCACCATTGCTAAAAGATCAAAGTGGCATAAAATAGAATACAAAATAGAAGAACAAATATGAAGTAATAAAAAATGAAATACAACTATTGTGGTGGTTGGTATTTGGAGGTACATCTCCAAAAGGCAATCAGCATCTATAAAAACACGTACACTTCACATGAATACACAGTAAAACATTACAGGCCCTGATGCCCACATGCTTAGTTTCATTTACTAAAGTAGCTGTTCAAAGCAATGAAATCAGTGACAGTACACAGGACTGAGGCTATAATTAAGGTCTTTCTAAGAGGTGCCACCAGTATGGCCATTCCCATACACTTTAATATTACATATAACAGTGACAGGGAAATTTTGCACTGTTTAACACTGATCTCAATCCATGTTGCTGTCTTTACTTATTAATATACTAATTAATCAGGGACAGAACAATCATACCCTACTATAACACAATTTTTTTTAAATTTATTTT